CCTTAGAAATGACAGCCCATTTGAAGGACCTGACCCTTTCTTTATATAAGTGTGTCTGAGCTCAAGTATCCTTTCTTTAAACACAGGCTCATTATAGCTAGCCTTGGGACTAAGCAAACCATTGTCATATGTCCCATCGTTCTAATCTCTCTGTGCCTTGCATATTCTGGTCATTCTGAACTCTCCAGAGCCTCAGAGGACTCCTGCCTTGGTCCATGTCCTTCTGGGGTCCACAGGAGCCCCTGTTCTCCTTTTCACTTCTGTTGCATGGGGACGTGGAGTGGGGGGTGCCTCTGCATTGGCTATCCATCCCTTCTTGTTCATTTCCCTCTGGAGCTTTAGGGGGTGTGTAGAAGTGTGATAGGAGACAGCCCTCCTTTGAAGCCTGAACGATGTGTTCTGAGTAGTGATGGTAATGACTGAGCTGTGAGCTAAGAAAGGTGAGCTAACTTGGGGTGTTGTGCTGGAGACTTGGTTCATTGCAGTAATGACTCAGGGTCAGTTTTTGACGTCTGTCCAGGGCTTAGGCTTTTCCTCAGCTTTTGTTCCAGAACATCGAGGTGACAGCGGAAATGTCTCTGCTGCTGGAAGGAAAACATGATTAGAGATGGCGTTTCACTAGGGTACTTGCGTTCTGCCTTTCATCTAAGGTAATAACAGCCAAGTAATTCTGGGAGAACTGAAAGAGGCTAGCAGTTATTTTTAAAAACAGCCTCTTTTCTGCCAAAACAGTCATTCATTTTATTTTTTTAAAATTGGAAGATACAAAAACATGATAAAAAGAATGACCTCTCATAACCCCACAGTACAAAGCTAATCATTGTTAACACTTTGGAGCTTGCTTTCCTTTCAGTTTTTGTATACGTTTCATATAAAACTGAATTTAGGTACATTTTTAAGTGAAGTTGGGAATGATAGGAGTAGCAAACGCTTGTTGAAACCATTCTGTGTGCCAGGAAGCCTTTAGCACTTCACATGCATTATCTCATTTATTTCTCACAATGACTCTTTGAAGAATTATCTCCATTTTCACAAGAGGAGACTGGGGCATAGAGAAGCTAAGTCATTTTCCAAGGTCACATGGCTCATAAGAGTGGTGCTAAGGTGGAAACCAAAGCAGTCTGTCTCCAGAGTCCACAGTCTTGGCTGTTACGTGGTACTGTCTCACAGCAAAGATCGCTTGGATTACATTTCCTGGAATTGTGCAGTATTAGTTCTGGATTATCTCATTCTGTTTCTTTGTTCTATAGATTAAGAAATGGAAGCCCACAGATGTGACTCGATTTACCCAAGAACACGTAGATAGTAATTGTCAGTTCCAAAACTGGGACACACATCTCCTGACCCATATAGTCCACGTGCATGTTGACTCCAGGTAGTCCATGAACCTTGCCTCCTCTCCATGTCCTAAGCCTGAAGCCAAGCTGCACTGTATAGAGCGCTGTACAGAGTCATTGCCAAGTCCAGATTAAACGAACGATGGAGGACTCACACAGCTTTCTTCCTAGCACGTACATGTAATTTCAGTTTGTGTTCAGGGAATTTATGGGCATCTAACAGTAATGTGTCTAGCTGGCTCTCACTTATCTGTGCAGTACTTGGGCTATAAAAGGCCAAAAAGTACAGCTCAGCAATAGTTCCAACTTTACCATCATCAAACATTTTTAATTGGGATTTGCTGACAAGCAGTAAGATTGGTTGATCTGGGCTCTAAATGCTGTTGCTTCCTCCAACCTGGACTCTTAAGGACAGGCCAACCATTGTTATAACTTTAAAGTGAGCCAAAAGTCCCTCAGCCATGTGCGTAAACATTCATGTGCATACGAGGTTGGCCTGCACCAGCATCTCTAAGGAAGAAAGGCTCGTTGCATTGACTACAGAGTTGGGTGACCAGCTCTGGTGCAGGAGAGAATTAAAGAGCAGGCGGTAACTTACTGCTGAGTTTGGTAAGGTAAAGTAGGAAATTTTCAGACGTTGTAGTGGACTTCTCAGTACAGAATGTCAAGCATTTTTTTTTTTTTTTAATAATCTGATCTTATCTGTGAGGTCCAGGAGGGCAAGAACAAGTTCTTATGAAACTCACAATGTTGAATAAAAAAATGACAAGAAGAGTATGTGTATGCAACAGGCAAAACTAATGTACGCTGTTTGAAGCAGGATCATAGTTACCCCTGGAGATGGGGTGATGTAGTTGATTGATGTAGTTGATTGAAAGTGGGTCGGGGGTGGGGGGGCTTCTGTTTCTTAAACTGGGTGCTGCTTATACAATGTGTTCAGTTTGGAAATAGTCACTGAGTTTTATACTTATGAAATGTGCTCTTTTCTGAGTGTCAGTTATACTTCAATTAAAGTTTTAAAGTTCTTATTTGTGTTTATGTATCTTGTTACGCCTTAATACTCAGAAGAATCTGTTTAGTTGAATGAGTTTGAAATGGTGCAGAATTTATCGTCTAGGTATTGGGAAAACATCTCTGTAGAATTGTCAGGGCTGTAGGCACAGAACTTCCAAGTTCATTTTTTGATTCTGTTAAAATGTATCTTAAATGAGTTTAGTGCCTTGGAATAAAGAATGATGTCACTTTAGTTCAGCGAGCATTTATTGACAGCCTCCTGTGAATAAAGGAAGTGCTAGTGTCACCAGCTGGGTACAGCTATGACATCATGTGTTCCCTGAAGGAGCTTGCAGTCTGTGGGGGTTAAAGTCCTGGGATGAGTGACAAAAGGAGGCGTGAAGTAGTGCCACAAGATGAGCACACAGAGCAGCAGGGAGGGTCACAGTAAGGAGAGGCAGTGTTCCAAAGGGGACTAGGAAAAACTTCATGGAAGAAGAGGCATTTAAAACAGATTCTAAAGAATATAGAGGATTTCGATAAACAGAAGTGGATGCTTGGCAGGCACTGCCGGTATCATCCGTATGAGAAAATCCATAGAAAATTCACATACATTCTGGGAACTTTGGGTTGTATAAATGGTATCCTTCAGGTGCAAGGTGAGGCCCAAAAAGTAAGCTTAGGCCTTACAGTGCTTGGGTTGTATTATTTCATTTAGGAGGCATTAGGGAGCCAAAGAAAGTTTCTAAGGAGGAGCCTGATCAGATTTGATATCTCCAGTAAAATCAGATTTTCAGCCTCGGTGGTTATATAGTTACCATTAATTACCGTGTCTTCCCCAAATAAACGTTTTCTAAGTTTAGTGCTCTCTTTGTTCCTATAATTTGAATGCATTCCTGTTTGGGTCCACTAATTAGCCACACACATGGTTGCCTTGAGCTTCCTGTGGTCATATCTCTAGGACTTGAAGATCGTTGTATACCTTCTTTATTCCCTACACCCATCCTTCTCTCCAGACCAGGTGAAGTCACAGTTCCATTATCCTTTCTTCATACATCCTGTTTTCTAGTCTTACAGTGATTTTGGCATTTCTTTTCTTCCAGCCTTTCCTATGTGATACTCTTCTGCCAGATGAAGCAACTAGTGACTCACATTCATGACAAAATTGTTTATGGGAGGAGAGGGGCCAAGAAATAATGTTAACAAACTTCTGTTAAGTTGTGAAGGAGGCCTGACCCACTGACCTAGCGTCATGTCTCACTGGGCCATGGGGCTCCCTGCTTTGGGATAAGCACAGGGTAGGATTTATCGTGTGGTGAGGTGTTCAGACTCATTGTTGGAAATGGTCCATACTTGAGTCTGGGTTACTCAGACAGTGTGAGGTCCACTGAGTGAATTCCTTACTAATTTTTTGCTATCGACCTAGTAGTCCCTACAAAAAAAAAAAGTGTGATGAATATTGTCTTGCATCTCATTCGATTTCTTTTGAGACTCTATATCAAGGCATTATGCCAATCAAATGGTTGTTAACTTGACAAATAAGATGCTTCAGTGTCGATCTTATGAATCATTGTTTGGAGATTGTGTTCAAACTACCATTTTTTGTCCTCTGAGGACATTAACAGTAGAGTATCCTGACATGGAAAGAGGATTTGGGTTAGGGTGACTTGGATTTAAATCCTGGCTCTTTAACCCTCAGTTTTTACGTGTTTGTGTGTTTAAGCCATTCTTTGCTCAGCGTGGTAATGAGGATCAAACGAGAACACACAGGAAACATCCACAGAACCCAGAACACAGTCTCATTTGCCTTTCCGTTGCAGAGCACAGACTTGCTGTCCCCCTTGCTGGGTGCTCAGTGCTACTGTGCAGTTATGTGCTCTACATGGCTCTTGAATACGAAAGCTATTTCATGTGGTCTTAGGATTATTGGTTTTCTTTTTCTTTTTTTAAATTCACTGTGGTTGTGGTTTGAGGTTGTTTCCATGTCTGAATACTATTATTGCATTGTCCAATTATTAATCTTAGACCATATTATTCTGTCACATCTTTTTAATGATTCCATTAAGAAAATAGTTTTCTTGTGTTGATGGATGCATCTGCTGGTACCTTTGTTTGTTTTTTGTTTATTGACTGCTGGCTGTTAGGGTTACCAAGGTTAAGGGTTCAGCACCATGCTCTAACCAAGTGAGCTAACCAGCCAGCCCTCTGGCACTTTTCTTTCTTTCTCTCTATCTTTCCTTTTTCCGTTCTCCTTCTTTTAAATGAGTGAGTTCTGATTTGGATGCATTACCCTTAAATGTGAAGTTTATGGTAAATGGGGCATGGCAGGCGCTCCACGCGCCTGGGCACTTTGGGAAACCAGGACTGACTGGTGACCTTATCCATTCTGCACTTTCTACCCAGGCAGCCAATAGTTACCATCTTATCAGACAGAATATTGGATACCCTGGAAGATCTGAATCTCAGAGCTAGTTAGCGTACCTGAATGCAGGAAGGAGTTGGGCTGTCCTGTATTCAACCTGAGAGGATAGTAGGGAGTATTTATCCTGTGAAACTTGCAGTTTGGAAGTCAAGGACTTATAGTATGTTTGTTGTGTGTGCACAAATGGTGGCAGAGTAATTGTCTCTTTGACTTCAGGGTTTACGGCGCTTCTTTCCTGTCTCTTTCAGGTAGAACGTCATGACATGAATACCTTAAGCCTGCCCCTGAACATACGCCGAGGAGGGTCCGACACCAACCTCAACTTTGACGTACCAGATGGCATCCTGGACTTCCACAAGGTCAAACTCAGTGCAGACAGCCTGAAACAAAAAATCCTAAAGGTAACAGAGCAGATAAAAATCGAGCAAACATCCCGTGATGGGAATGTTGCCGAGTATCTGAAACTAGTCAGTAGCGCGGACAAGCAGCAGGCTGGACGAATCAAACAAGTCTTTGAGAAGAAGAATCAGAAATCAGCTCACTCTATTGCTCAGCTGCAGAAGAAATTAGAGCAGTATCATAGAAAGCTCAGAGAGATTGAACAGAATGGAGCCTCCAGAAGCTCAAAGGACATTTCCAAAGACAACCTGAAGGACATACAGCACTCTCTGAAAGATGCCCACATGAAGTCTCGGACTGCTCCCCACAGCATGGAGAGCAGTAAATCAGGCATGCCAGGGGTATCCCTCACTCCACCCGTGTTTGTTTTCAATAAGTCCAGAGAGTTTGCCAACTTGATCCGGAATAAGTTTGGCAGTGCTGATAACATTGCTCACTTAAAAAATTCCTTAGAGGAGTTTAGGCCTGAGCCGAGCACCAGGGCCTATGGTGGCAGTGCCACCATCGTGAACAAGCCCAAGTATGGCAGCGACGACGAGTGTTCGAGTGGCACGTCAGGCTCGGCTGACAGTAACGGGAACCAGTCCTTTGGGGCTGGTGGAGCCAGCACACTGAACAGCCAGAGGAAGCTCACCATGATCCTGGAGGAACTGAGGGAGATCAAGGACACCCAAGCACAGCTGGCCGAGGACATCGAGGCAGTGAAAGTGCAGTTTAAGAGAGAGTATGGTTTTATTTCTCAGACCCTGCAAGAGGAGAGATACAGGTATTTCATAGTATTCTATTACAATCCTTTAAGAAGCATGAGTTACTAACTACAGAGAGACTGTCTACTTGAAGGTCATATGCTCGTGGTGTGTTGTTAGCTATTTCAGATATGGATCAGAACCACTGAGGGATCAGTAGTTCTTTCAGTCCTTCATGATTGTAAGTTTTATAATTTGTGGCCCAGAGCTGACAATTTAGAGAAAGACATTATACATATGAGTCTCTAAAAATGTCACTATACGGGCTGTGACTCATGTGCAAATTGAGATCCTGATTCAGTAGACTTCTGTTATAGTCTTCTTACACTCATTCAGAGATCTATATTTGGTTTCCCTCCGTAACAGCTTTCAAGTAAAAAATTAATTCATTGTCCAGCAAGATAGATTTTATTCAGCTTGTCATTCTTGAAGTCTTTATAGACTATATTTTTATATATACTGTATTTTATATCATAAAGAACTTTCAAAAGTAATCTTAAGATTAAAGTATAAATTCAAATCTTGTAGGTTATATTAGCTAATTTTAAAAGTAGATGTTTTGTAAGCTGGTTTTGTGTGCTTATAGCTTATTAATAAAAAAGTGTATATGTCCAAACATGAGGTGATTTTTTTCCCCTACTTTGCCAATAAAAAGATCCCCTTGAAGTTTTTTAGTCAAAATGAATATGTTAGGGCTGGCTGATTAGTTCAGTTGGTTAGAGCTGCTGATGCCAAGGTCCAGGGTTCAATCCCTTTATCGGCCAGCTTCCAAAAAATAGAGCTGACGGGAATATGTTAATGTCTAAGCATATAGTTAAAATAGTGAAATACCTATTACATACTGTAATATTTAAAATTTTAATTTAGCTTAGGTACTGTTTTATAGTTGGTGCATGATTTTATGTATGTATTAATTTAGAAATGTGGCTTTTTCAACTCCTACTTTGTGAAATAATTTTTTTAAACTTTCCATATGCGTCTTTGACTTTGGTATCTTTGTCACATAAGAACTATTTTTTGAGTCGCAGCTTTTCCAGAAAATATTGACTTTAATTCCATCCAAATAGTTTGGATACAGCACTTTTTGGATGTACATTTTATCTCAAGTTACAAATACCCATTCACGTAAATTTAGGAGTTTTGTTTTCATTTGTCCTGTGGCTATGTTTGTGATCCCCATGATAAAACCACTCTCAAATATCACTTGAGACCATTAGGAGGCTTATTTACAGCAACAGCAACATTTGACACCTATGAAGTCATGCCTGAGAATAATCATTAAATCTTTATCAAGTTTTTTTGCCTTTTTTAAAAAATTATTCTATCGGGTGACCTATATAAGCATCTAAAATTGACATTGCTCAATCATTCCAAGCTAATGCATTTTCCCCAGAGTGCATCCTGTTTCAAAATAGACAATTTAAGATTTCACATGTAAGACAAATCCTCTTCTCTGAGGGAGGTGGGGCATGGGAATGGGAATCTTTGTACTTTTGTTACTTTAGGTTTGGCCACCCGATAAGCTATCTATAATTTGTAATAAGCTTAGATTTTTATTGGCACTTAAATTCCAAGAGCTGAAAACGTGTTTGGTACAGGTGTGTGCACTGGGTATTAGTGGAATGGCTCAGAGTAGAAGTTGATACTAAAAGCATGGTTCTTTCCTTATGGGTGCTCTAGCCATGAACCCCTAGGTGGTAGGGGCAGAAGAGGGAGAAGCCAGTGGGTCCTGGCCTTGAGCAGGATCCTGGAGTGCCCTGTCTCCTGACTGGCCCTGGCAAATGTGTTAGCGTATGAGGTCTGACCTGCTGTCACCACAGCCAGTTAAGTTGCTAGTCTGATGTGGGTGAAGAAGCCAGATTTGGTTTGCATGAAACCTCAGCAGTGAGGACAGAGATTTAAGACTGCAGAGACCAGTCCTTTCCAGAGCTGAATTTATTGTTATCCAAAAGCATGCTCCCCACAGCTAGACTTATTCATTTGGAAGAAGAGTCTGCCAAGGGATGAAAACAAGCCAAAGGGTGCTGGCGGCAGTAAGATAAAAGGGACATCATTCTAGAATGTGCTGTTGGCAGACCTCTGAAATGTCACACTCAGAATCATCTCTTGTCTTTGTAAAGGTACGAGCGACTGGAAGACCAGCTGCATGACCTGTCAGACCTGCATCAGCACGAGACGGCCAACCTGAAACAGGAGCTGGCCAGCATCGAGGAGAAGGTGGCCTACCAGGCCTCTGAGCGCTCGCGGGACATCCAGGTGCCTTTCCTCCCATGGTTGGACACTCATGTGGGCTCTTGCCAGGCTTTCATCCATTTAACAAACTAAGTGCCTTACCCCTAAGCTCTAAAGGATTTCTGGCACATGGGGCAAAATGTTTTCGCTGCACAAACATTTCTTCTCCACCTTGTTAAACCACCCCAGCTCATGTTATAGATATTATGAAATGAGGACACTATATTTTCTGCCTGAATCAGTTAATAAGTATTTCTTATCTACCTGAAGCCCATCACCACCACAGTTTTTAAAAACTTAAAAATATGAGGCAAACCCTGCCTTCAAGAAGCTTACTGCCGAGGTGGGGAGCAGCTCAACTGCCAAACAACTCAAGGCAGCATGTACAAGAGCCAAATTCCATGGCACAGACTCTACGAGCCACAGAAATTCAGACATGTGGTACCCAGCAAGCTGTGGCTGGTGGCACAGGCAGTCGTGTAGTGGGAAAACATTGGATTTTGGTCCCAGGTCTGTCAGGTACCAGGGATATGGCCCCAAGCAGGCCTCGAGCCTATTTGCTCATCTGTAAAATAACAGCTTTCATGTTTGTAAGAATTTCATGCCCTTCACTTGTCTCTTTTTGCCATTTACTCCTCAACAGCCCTTCGAGGTAGTTTCTGTTATTATCCCCACTTTTCAGATACGGAGACCAAGGCACAGGGAGGTAAAGTGAGATGAATGAGGTCTCGGAAATTGTCCTTGAGGAATGAATGTGAATGAATGTCCTGCAGAAGGAGGGACTGGAAGGAGTGGATAGGACCTGGGTGGGTAGGTGGGTGGGTGGGTGGGTGGAAGGAAAGGTTAATTGGATCAGTATAAACAAAGGCGTGTTCCAGTATTTCCTAATGTGATACTAGCACTGCCATGAAACAACCCTACGCTTCTTGATCGTCTTTTTAAAGAAAGTACTAGTCAAGTAATGCTCAGCTTCATTTTTATGGATTTTCTTTGTAGACAGTGGTTATTTTCTCCAGCTCTATGAAGGCTGTGAAGCCCCACTTTACAAGGGAGAAAATTGAGCCTTCCACAGGGTGTGAGCTGGAGTTTTAGTGCCCACACTTGGATCCACTCCATGTTCATTAGCCTGTGCTAATCTAGATGTCTCCTTGTACAGTTCTGTGAACCAAAAGCATCAGAGCTGGTGAGGAACGTTGCCAATCTCCAGAGATACCTAGGGATTTCTGGGTTAGGAGAGTTTGCTTCACCACTGACTGGTTTGAAAAACTCGAACCCATTTAAATGTTAAATGTTGCCTGGTGAACAGTACAGTTGGTTTATTAGGTCTATTTTAGAACATGTCTTGAATGTCACTGGGGTGTGTCTGAATGTATGGTTTCCTTAATGTAGGTGATAATTTGGGTTACTACTGTTCTTCCCTTTTTTAAGAAACATATTTTAGGAGTGAAGAGGTCAGATAAAGGGAGGGACTCCACAAAGGGAACTTAGAAATTCAGAGGAACTGATTTCAACATTTTCTGGTTTCATCTCTTGCTCAGAAGTGCAAAGAGGACTTCTGCACAAATGACGGGAGTTTCTTTCTTGTCATGATAGTTAGAATCCTGGCTCTACTACTCTCTCTCTGTGTGACCCTGGATGCATTAGCTCTTTGTGCCTCAGTTTCCTCATCTATAAAATGGAACTATTAATGAGCTCTACCTCAGAAGGTTGTCAAGAGGATTAAATGGGATAATACATGTAAAGTACTAAAATCATTGCCTGACGCATAAACAGTAAAATTTTAAAAAACATCAAAAAATAAATGCCATTCTTTCTCTTATAGTGGTGAGTAGCCATATTTCTTGGCTTCTAGCAACTGGGCCTGCTAAGTTTCATTTTTGTTTCTTTGGTTCTTAGGAGCAGGGTTGTAACAATGACTGGGCTGGTACAGATGAGGGTGGCTGTTTCTTGTAGGGATACAAGGGTTTATTGTTGTTTTAAGCAATTGAGGAGTTTTTTTAAACCCTGAATTCCCAATTTGAAGTGTTTATTGATAATCCCTTCCTCTGTCCTCATCCCCAATAAATTGTATGCTGGACCCAAGGAAATACTAAAAATTGTAGGGCTGAATATCTCTTGATGCTGTGACTAAAATTCTGTGCAGTTCACTGCTTTATTTTCTAGGATTTTTATTTTGGTTTAAAAAAATTGATAGCAGTTCTAGGGCAATTCTAATGATCAGTTCATTTGTACATGTAATTTATCTACCCAATCAAAATTAATGAATTTGCATAAAATATTGATCTTTTGTCTTGCCATGCCTAAAATAGAAGAAATCTTGGGCCCCTACAAGTGGTTGAAAAGAAGGCATGATTTCTGGGTGTATGCCTGTTATTGTAGAAAGCCAGCACTTTTAGAGTATGAAGATCTGAAGAAGTTTTATCCTTTTTCTTGGTAGCCTAGGATAATGAAAGTTACTATAGTAACAGAACCCTGTTCTTTGGCCTGTAGAGTATATTCAGCAGCAGAAAAACAAATCAATGTTGGAGCCATTATGCTTGCTTAAAACCTGAAAAGATGACTGTATTGAAATTGAGCAAACACATATTGGCAAATGACAGGAGGCTACTGACCTAAAAGGGGCACATTGTGCTGCCTTTAGTTATGTCCTTTTCTCCTAAGAGGCTCAGCGGGTTTTCTCTTGAGCTTCACATCCTCTTACTGGCATCCAGCTGTCTCTTTAATATTCGGCCATTGCATAGTGCCTGCGGCATGCCTGGCACTGATTCTGTGCTGGAGAGGACAGCAACAGCAGGATGGGCCTGGTCCCTGCTTCATGCAGCTTCTGTCTCAGTTGGGCAGGAGAACTGGAGGGAGACTTGACCTAATCTAATGAGTCAGGGAAGGTGTATTAGTCATTTTCTGCCACTTGCAACAGAATACCTGAAACTGGGTAATGTATAAAGAAAAGAGTTCTTATAATTTTGGAGGCTGGGAAGTCCAAGGTCCAGGGAACACATCTGGTGAGGGCCTTCTTCTGGATGGGAACTCTCTACAGGGTGCCATGGCAACACAGGAGATCGCACGGCAAGGATGGCAAGGGCTCTTTCATGTGCTCTCACTATAAAGCCATCAGTCTACACCCATGATAACCCATTAAACCATTAACCCATTACTCCATGAATAGACAAGTACATTCATGAGGGCATAGTGGTCATGGTCCAATCACCTCCGAAAGGCCCCACATTTCAAATACCATAATCATAATCAGATTTCTTACACTCTTAACACTGTTACAATGGGGTCAAGTTTCTGACACATGAACTTTTGGGCACATTTTACCCATAGCAGAAGGCTTCCCTCATGATGTGACAGTCGAGGTGAGAACTTACATATGAATAGGAGATCCACAAGTTAGGAAGGGAGGAAGTGGGGGGAGGCACACATTTCAGGCGGAGTACAGTGCACGTGCAAAGGCCCTGAGGTGAGCACATGCTCCTTTTCAGAACATAGAAAAGCCAGTTTGGCCAGAGAACCATAAGGGGGACAGGGGACTGGCATTAAGTGAGGGAAGAGAAGGTGGCAGAGCCACACAAAAGATTTGAAAGGCTAATGAAAAGGGGTGACATCAGATATGCATGTTCAAAAGACCACTTGGGCTGCTTTGTGGGAAATGGATTCATGGGACTGGGAAACAAGAGGGTGTGGGGAAATTTGGGTAAGGTTACTGCAAGCAAGAGATCCTGGTGACAGACTGGCATGGTGGCTGTGGGAGGAAAGAGAAATGAACCAATTGAGACAGATACTGGATGTTGCATGGGCAGGGCTGGGTGATGGATTGGATGAGAGGGCTGTCAAGGCATACCTCTCGGGCATCTGGCATAAGGGCTGGGTGGACCAGGGTATTGTTTGCTGAGCAAAGGAGCACTGGAGGGGAAACAGGATTGAATGCAGGCGCAGGGTAGGAGTGATGCATTAATCTACATTTGGACATGTTGCATTTGAGGTGCTTTTAAGAAGCTCTGATGGAGATGTCAAGGAGGCATGTAGGTATATGAGTCAATCTCAGCAGAGACAGCTGGGCTAGAGATACACTCAGAGTTGTCTGTGTCTTAGTAACAAAAGCCTTGGAATGAACGAGATCTGAGGAGATGCCCCGGATAGTGTCCTGAGCAGGACAAAAGAACAGGTGAAAGCAGAGTTGCCCTGCAATCAGTCTTATCCCCTCCGTCCTCCCCTCCCTTCTCTCTCTGTCCTCCACTAGTCTGTAGATGGATACACACACACTTCGAGCAGCTGAAATGAGGTCTAGCAATTGGAGATAGCAGATACCATGGCTGAAGGTAGAGCAGTCATCTGTTACTGAATGAAACTCCACCCGTTCTCTGGTTTGCCCCTGATGGCACCAAAAGGTGCCAATATTTGTGTCACTTTATTTCAAATGTAGGTGTAGTCAGAAACTTAACCATGGTTCCTCATTTCTGGTATTTTATGGTTGTATACACACGCTCATTCTACCCACAAATAACAGGATAAAGTGAGCCTTGGGACTGTTGTTTTACGTCTTGGTCTGTCATCACTGTCAGTTTGGGTATTTGAAGCTGCCTGTGCGGTAGGTGTTCTGGGGTGGGGGCGTTTGCGCACATCTGAGCGTGCACTCACGCTGCCCACGCTCGCAACAGCGTTTGATGCTTGCTCTCTCTCTTGCCCACAGGAAGCCCTGGAATCCTGCCAGACACGCATTGGTATTTGAAGCTGCCTGTGCGGTAGGTGTTCTGGGGTGGGGGCGTTTGCGCACATCTGAGCATGCACTCACACGCTGCCCACGCTCGCAACAGCGTTTGATGCTTGCTCTCTCTCTTGCCCACAGGAAGCCCTGGAATCCTGCCAGACACGCATTTCTAAGCTGGAGCTCCACCAGCAGGAGCAGCAAGCTCTGCAGACAGACACCGTGAATGCCAAAGTTCTCCTGGGGAAGTGCATAAATGTGATCCTGGCCTTCATGACCGTTATCCTCGTGTGCGTGTCCACCGTCGCAAAGTTCGTCTCGCCCATGATGAAGAGCCGCTTCCACATTCTTGGCACCTTCTTTGCAGTGACTCTTCTTGCAATCTTTTGTAAAAACTGGGACCATATTCTGTGTGCCATAGAAAGGATAATAATACCAAGATGAAGCCACTGGTTCCTGCCTTCAAGTTCTTTCAAGTTTTTATTTTAAAGAAAACTCCGTGCATACTACCAAATTCTGAAAGGAACAGTTGTACCAACAAGATTACAAGGACTGGGGCTGAGGGGTGTAAATAACTACGATTCTCTTCATCGGTAGCAGTTGCCAGCTCAGTCCCCCTACTTGGCTAACATGAATCTGTTTCAGAGCTTTCCCATGTTGCTCACTGCCTTAACCAGACCAGATTTCCTGTTCACCTGACCAGCCCAGCATGGTAAACCCTTCTGTTTATTGAGCACTTGGCGTAATTAGTGACCCAGAAGAAAAAGGAGTCTCTCTCTGTCTCAAATCTCTGTTAGAACTGAGCGTCACTATTGCTAGGGTTGTGTTTTCCCCAAGTGCTGTAAGCAGCAGGGGTATGATATGGTCCGGAGAAGTGGAGGAACGCAGGCACTGGCAGCGTTGAACACTGGTGGCCTGTGGAAGGACAGGAAATCCCGGTGTAGTCCGTCCTGCCTGTCCACAGATGACCATGGTCTCATTATGTACTTAGTGTCCGTAGCGGTCCATTGCATGTGATCCCATAACATGGAAATCCTATAACGTACCTGTTTATCCACAAAAAGTCTACTTAGGGGTTTTGTTGCACTTTAAATGGTAAAACACAAAGATTTTCATGAAGGGGGCTCTCTCTCTTGTACCTGGGAAACCACACACCTGATTTCATCTTAGCTGGCTGGCAGATGCCCTGTCTTCACGCCACGCAGACACACTTCCAAATCCCGCATCAGACCGTGGCTTTCACATTAACGTGAGGTCCTCTGAGCACTCCTCCAGAGGCTTGTGCTGTGGCCCATCTTCATTGTGACACCCCTGTGAGGTGTGGCTCACCTCGTTCACAGGTCTGTGAGGACTGCAGCGCTTACTTGGGAAACGCAAACATGTCATGCTCCTGTTGCAGGGCTTCCCCTGAAGAGGATGGCAGCCGTAGTTTATACAGCTGAAGTGTGCTGAGGTGACAGCACTGGCAGTATGAGGGAACTATGACATTGGGTCTGATTGGATGGTGGCTAGATTATTAGAGCAGTTCACCTGGATGAAGACTGAGCAGGTCCTCTCGGGGATGTGACAGGCCGACAGGAATGAAATAAATTAAGTCCACTGTTTGAGCCAAGGTTGCCATCTGTCTCTTAGGATCTTACTGAAAATAAGTTCTAAGGTAACAGGATGGCCACCGTTCCACTGAGGTGAAAGCATTCGAAAGTTAACGTGCAGTTGGTTAGAGCGTGGTGCTGATAACACCAAGGTCCTGGGTTCGATCCCTGTACCGGTCAGCTGCCAAAAAAAAGAAAAAGTTAATGTGCCTGTTGTGGAGGTGCCACTCACTGTCTTCAGCCTAGATGATATTTTCCTTTAAATCTGTTTCTCTGTGTGTAACAGAAAAGAAGACAGATTTTAATGTAAACTGCTATTGAGCCCCTCCTGCCACCATGACTGCCATTTGCTAAAGGTGTAAAGACGCATGTTAGTGTACGTTTTCTTCCAGAAGACATCAAACTCCTGTATTTACATTAGTGCAGTATTTTGCAAACAGCTGTTTTTAGTGAAATCTCCACCCCCCCAAAAAAATGTGACAGCGTGTGCCACGGCTTGAGAAAAAGGAGTAATTGAGCATTTAGTACCAATGTGGATGAGTGAGACTCATACAACTCACGCTCGCTTTCTTTTTTTAAGTGTAAAATTCAGTGGTTTTAGTAAATTCACAAACGTGTTCAATCCATCACCACTGTCTAATTCCAGACTCAGGCTTTTGAAAACAATAAACAACACTTCATGAAATCTTTGGTTTTAAAGTATATTGGGTTTAGGAAAGAGGGAGTTACTAGTCCCACCCCCATCTCATGGCTGTGTCCCCTTTCATTGTCAGACTCCCCTGTGGTCTCCCAAGTTGATGTGTATACACTGATCCATCAAATCCAAAAAAATAAAAAGAGGTGCAGGTCCAGGGCCAAGAGGGGGAAGGAATGGCCTGCTTCCTTTTGCTTTTACCTTTTAATGGCCGTGAGCACTCCTCCAGAGGCTTGTGCTGTGGCCCATCTTCATTGTGACACCCCTGTGAGGTGTAGCTCGCCTCATTCACAGGTCTGTGAGGACTGCAGCGCTTACTTGGGAAACACAAACATGTCATGCTCCTGTTGCAGGGCTTCCCCTGAAGAGGATGGCAGCTGTAGTTTATACAGCTGAAGTGTGCTGAGGTGACAGCACTGGCAGTATGAGGGAACTATGACATTTGGTCTGATTGGATGGTGGCTAGATTATTAGTGGGAGCAGCTCACCTGGATGAAGACTGAGCAGGTCCTCTCGGGGATGTGACAGGCCGACAGGAATGAAATAAATTAAGTCCACTGTTTGAGCCAAGGTTGCCATCTGTCTCTTAGGATCTTACTGAAAATAAGTTCTAAGGTAACAGGATGGCCACCGTTCCACTGAGGTGAAAGCATTCGAAAGTTAACGTGCAGTTGGTTAGAGCGTGGTGCTGATAATACCAAGGTCCTGGGTTCGGTCCCTGTACCGGTCAGCTGCCAAAAAAAAAGAAAGAAAAAGTTAATGTGCCTGTTGTGGAGGTGCCACTCACTGTCTTCAGCCTAGATGATATTTTCCTTTAAATCTGTTTCTCTGTGTGTAACAGAAAAGAAGACAGATTTTGGGCTGGCCCAGTGGCGCACTGCTACAGTGCGCCGTTTGGGAGCGTGGTGGCGCTCCCGCCAAGGGTTCGGATCCCACATACAGACCGGTTCCCGCTCACTGGCTGAGCGAGGTGTGGGAGCAACACCGAGGGTTGCGATCCCGTTGCCGGTCCCGGTCCGGTATGGGCGCGACACTGAGGGTTGCGATCCGTTGCCGGACACAAAAGAGACAAAAAGGAAAAAAAAAAAAAAGAAAAGACAGATTTTAATGTAAACTGCTATTGAGCCCCTCCTGCCACCATGACTGCCATTTGCTAAAGGTATAAAGACGCATGTTAGTGTACGTCTTCTTCCAGAAGACATCAAACTCCTGAATTTACATTAAGTGCAATATTTTGCAAACAGCTGTTTTTAGTGAAATCTCCCCCCCCCAAAAAAAAATGTGACAGCATGTGCCACGGCTTGAGAAAAAGGAGTAATTGAGCATTTAGTACCAATGTGGATGAGTGAGACTCATACAACTCACGCTCGCTTTCTTTTTTTAAGTGTACAATTCAGTGGTTTTAGTAAATTCACAAACGTGTTCAATCCATCACCACTGTCTAATTCCAGACTCAGGCTTTTGAAAACAATAAACAACATTTCATGAAATCTTTGGTTTTAAAGTATATTGGGTTTAGGAAAGAGGGAGTTACTAGTCCCACCCCCATCTCATGGCCGTGTCCCCTTTCATTGTCAGACTCCCCTGTGGTCTCCCAAGTAGATGTGTATACACTGATCCATCAAATCCAAAAAAAAAAAGGGGGTGCAGGTCCAGGGCCAAGAGGGGGAAGGAATGGCCTGCTTCCTTTTGCTTTTACCTTTTAATGGCCAGCGTCCCCCATTTGCCTGTGGACATCAGGCTCCATATGGGCTGGGAGCTGGGTGTAACTTACGCTTTTGAATCAAGGAATCAAGGTGGGTCCAGGGCGGGCTCCTCTTCAGATCTGCGAATCTTTCCAAGGGGCACTTCGGACGTGCCGGGGGCTGGGGTGGGTGAGAATGAGAGATTTCTAGCCCTTGAGGGTGAGTGGCCCGAGAGGATCCAAGGAGACTTGGACCTCATTCTCATGCCACCACACACCACTCCGTCACTCGGCCTAGACCTTTGCTTTGATTGACACTTCTCCAATATATGATGAGTGTGTCTTTTTCCCAGTGACCAAAGTAGAGAGGAAGTGGAAGGCAGCACACTCTGCCCCTGCCAGTCTGGAGCTTTGAACAGAAGCTGCTAGAAACAGGCTCCATTCTGAAATACCGTAAGGTCTAAATCATCCTACCTGATGGTGAATTCCTTTTAACGAATTCATGTTTTCACTGACTCTTCTTAAATGTCATATAACCTTGTTTTTACTTGGATATATGCAACCTAAACAGCGTATATATTTTGGAGTCTTGTTGAAAGTTCATGAAGTTTTTACTTTTTAAGATGATGATATACTCCAAGGAGACTTCTCTTTTTAAGGAATAAACCCTCCCGCTGCTTGTTCTCTGTAATGTGTAGGGAGATTCAATGAAATTTTATAAATATACAATTAAAGATAGTGATATATCTATGACATATTTTGGAATTGGATATTTAATTTACATTTAAATCCACTAATCCTTTTTCTGTACCCTTCATTTGTTGTAAATTTTTTGTGCCTACCTAAAGATAAAACCAGTTGTTGGATGGGAAGCTCCTGGTTACTCAGTGAATGTTACTGAGTGATTTAAGATGCTGGACATTGGATTCTAGCTCTGGAGTTTTTGGTGACATTATTTTCATGATTTCGAGGTTAATGGTAATTTGTTGAGGACAAAAAAAAAACTTAAAAATACTCTCGTCAGCTTTGCATTGGTTATTTCATCTTATATTTTGAGTATGATTAAGCCAGAACAAAATCTCCCCTGCGCAAACTATTCAAACCCACAACGAAGTCTTATATTTTGAGTATGATTAAGCCAGAACAAAATCTCCCCTGCGCAAACTATTCAAACCCAACCACTGAAAGCACTCCATTGCTAACTTAGACAGTGAGAACAGGATTAGTCTTAAGTTTCCAGCATGTAAGATTACTGTTTTTGCCTATATGATCCCTATGATAGACGGAAATTTTCTGAAACTCCTCTTTTCATGTCAGCCAATGATGCTAATATCCTTTTCTGTCAATTAGCTTTCATGTGATTTCAGCCCTCTCCTGCTTCTCACTCTTGTTTTCATTTAAATATTGCCCACTATGTACGTTTATTGCCCTGCCATTTCTCTAGCACATCTGGTTTAATTATGGCTTCAATAATAGTGA